TCTTGGTCCGTGATCTGCTGAGACGGCCAGACGTTGTCAGACATCAATGAACTCACAATTGTCAGCAAATTCCTTCGTTCATCACGCCGTCCACACTTAATTGTTGAAGTAACTATATTTTTTAAAATAGGAAATCAAGCTACATATGGGGCAAAGGTTTTTTATTTATACGAAACCAACAACCTTTGTTTCGCTTCAATTACGAGGCATCTTCAGGGTTAGGTTTCTAAGTTGTAAGATTGGGCTCTCAAATCTAATAACAGAAACCTAACCCTGCAGATGCCTTGTAATTGAGGCAAAACGTAGGTTGTTGGTTTCGTATAAATAAAAAACCTAGGCCCCATATCTAGTTTAGTTTCCTACTCCAACAATACACTTTTGGGGAAAAAATGGCAATAAAATTCAAGTAATTAATTTTTTTACAAAGCCTAGGTAAATGAAATCCAAAAGAGTATGTAGCCTCTGTGATTATCTTTTTCAATTTGTTAGATAATAAAGCAAAAATAACAAAACGCAAACTTGTAGTAGTAGTCATTCTAAATTCCAATATCATTCAATCATTTTATGTCAATTTTAGAGCGTGATTTCATTTTTACGATCGCATTTATGGCTTTGTTTCTTCTCCGGCTTCGTAAAAAGAAATGCACTTCTGACAAAACTAAAACTGCACAATTATTGCCAGAAAATAATAAATTTGGTATTTTAGCCAACCTATTTAAATTCTTTTCATTAAAATCTATACTAGCAAAGGCATTTTTTATGGATCCATATTCACGGGTTCCACGGGTTCCAACAGTGCCCTATTGTTGTAGCATCGCTGTACGTAAGAGTTTTATAATTGCTAAACGAAATGCGATATCGAATTAAAATTCTTGGCCCCGAGACAAAAATTGTTTTTAACAAAATAAAAGACATACTTATTTTAAATTGACATCATATACACGCAAACAGGGGATTTCTTTGTATCCCAACTAAGCTTGTGCATCACAATATTTTTTTAAATATATATTCACAGTTTTAGAAAATACCACAAATGGCATGGTGAACGCCATCTGTAGTACGATGCTACATTTTAGGATTACGTATGCTCCAACAAGGTCCATTTAAAAATATGGATATCTACTTGCTGAAACGAATCCCGGCGTAGCTCACCTCAACGTGATAGGCACGTTACCGTAATCGAATAAAATAATTCGAAGTGGTCTGTATTCTGCCGAAACTGCCAAACGCGGATCGCGATTTCGATCTCTTTGGATCTCATCAGCGCTTCGCAGGCAGCTCCGACAGAACACAGACCAAGCTTTACCTGCTGTCTTAACAGCGCGTTTTAGAAAATACCACAAATGGCATGGTGAACGCCATCTATAGTACGATGCTACATTTTAGGATTATGTATGCTCCAATAAGGTCCATTTAAAAATATGGATATCTACTTGCTGAAACGAATAAAAGTCATCATGTATGCTGAAACAAAGATGACCTTGTGATATTATTCTAACGTATCAGCCCGTCTCTGGCTAGCAGGGGTATTAAGGAAATTCCAGTCTGTCATAAATCTATTGTTTATTACTTTATCCAAGTCTTTCACGATATTATATCAAATACCTAGTTAATGTGATTAATTCTGTGTGAATTATCACTTTGTCGAAATTGAGTAGTTACCATACTTAATGACTTAACAGTATATATAATATCCGAATTTATTACTTTCGCTGCTATATATATAGTATAATGAAAAGGAAATCATTCATTAAATTCATCACCCTTCCCTTCTTTTGTTTTTCACCTTACAGTAATTAATATTAATAATACCTGTAGAACAATTGGGATAGATATTCCTTAATAAGAAAGTTCTAATGTTCGTCACTAATTATATATTTTCCTGAGATAAAAATGTTCAGTCTTTCAGAGTCTCTGAAAGTGCGACTCGAGTCTCCGTCTCTCACCGAGTCTCTCTGATGTCGCTGAGAGAGACTGTCAAAAAAGCTGTTTAGCGTCTCTGAACGAGAGTCTCGAGTCGCTTATTGAGAGATCTTCATTTCCTACCCAGTCTCTAAACGATAGTCGAATCTCTGAACGAGAGACTCGAATCTCTCAATAAGTGGTGTCTCGATAGACATGGTTAAAATTTTCAAAGTTCAACATATTTCAGAGATTCCAGTCTTTCTACGAGATACTCGAGTCTCTCAATTTTTCAGTTTTATTCATTCAGTCTCTCTGTGAGGGACTCGAATCTCTGAATTAATAATTTTATCGTTCGAGTCTCTCATACAGAGACTGTGAGAGATCCATAAAAACACCTAAGCAATAACTGAGAGACTGTGAAAGACTGTGAGAGACGCTGAAAGACTCTGAGAGACTGGAGAGAAACTGAAAATATTTGTCTAGGGTTTCCTTGACGGAGTCATGACTAACTGCAATGTTTCGTGTCAATTCGCTAGTATGTATATCCGTAGGTATATCGTATTGTAACACGTTTCGAACCGCAATTCTTTAGAATTTGACCTCGTTTGTCTAGTTGTTACCAACATGCACGAGATAGAGACACACAGATACGCAATCATACATACACAGATATCTATACCTAATGACAACAACACCCTTCCGTTAGTAAACGTGGGAGGGTAGAATCGTGCTCTATTGTGTGTGCTTATTTTTATTAGACCAGTGCGTGCTTAAACTCTGTTTACAGTCTTACTAAATAAACACTTTATCTACAACCAAGGAAAATTATTACGAATCATCTATCCAGCATTTAATTATCCACCGTAGTAAAACTTGCTGCCCCGCTTTCAGACTATTTTCTTTTGCATATTATTCCTCTTTTATAAAAATGGTGAATGTGCCATGAATTTATACATCGCCATTAACAATAGCTAGTATTTTATAGTACCTACTTGCTAGAATTTTAATTCCTTACTTTGTCAGGATTTGAATAAGAAGGGCCAGTATTTAAATCAATACGGTCATTATCATTTGATAATCAGTAAATAAATATAAAGTGTGAACATTTAGATATTTATCTTCGATTTTCTGACCTTCTAATATCCAAATTTGATTAATATTTTGCGGGGTAGCGGTCAAAAATTAAAATTAATACTCCTTTCTTTTTGTAACGTTTCGGTTTATTAAACCAAAACCATATTAAAAATAATAATATGAAATATTAGTTCTTCAAACATTTTTATTAATTTATTTATACCATAAGGTCGTCAGTCCTAAGACTGGTTGGATACGAACCTCCACTCTTTCCTATCCTGAGCGAATCTTCGTATTTCCCTAAAACTAGAAATACCCACGTCCTTAACTATTTGCGAATAGTAATCTAATCGAGGTTTACATCTACCCTTCCTAACTTCCGTTTCTGTCTTTAATATGTCTTTGACTAGACCTTCCTGCCTAAGGTGTCCTACCAACCTATCTTGCCTATTTCATATTAAATTCCATAGAGTCCTCTGTTCTCTTACTATTTCCAATACCTCTTCATTTCTAACCTTCTCTATCCTCATCATTCGTCTGTAACACCACATTTCGAACGCTTCTAACCTTTTTTTTTTCGCAGCGCCCACCGTCCATGTTTTACATCCATACAGCGCCGCACTCCAAACATACACTTTTAACAACCGGTTTCGAATTTCTAAATTAACCTTTCTTTTTATTGAAGGGGATTCGGCCCTGCTTTATCCTCTACTTTATATGCCTACTACTCCTTCCGTCCTGACTTATCTGACTTCCTAGATACCTAAAATCAGACACTTCTTCTAATTGTTTGTCTCCTATCTTTATATTTGCTCTTTCCGTACTTTTTCTTCCCTTGCATACCAGTATTTTAGTTTTACTTTTGTTTATTTTCATGTAGTAGTGTTTTGTCACTTCCATTTTATTTAATGGTCTCTCTAACTCCTTACTAGATGCTAATACTACTATATCAACTGCAAATCTAAGCACACCAATCTTTTGCCCTTCTATATTTTTCCCTACAGTTGTACTGTCTTTAATGATGTTGATCACATCTTCGATGTATAGAATAAGAAGTAGCGGTGAAAACTAATGTTTCATTATATTATTAATTTTAGTCTGGTGATGGTTCAATAAACCGAAACGTTACAAAACATGGAGTATTAATCTTAATTTTTGAGTGCTACCTAGTAAAAATTTGAATATTTAGATATGTATAAAAGGTCGCTACTTCGGTCGATATTTATTTAATATTACATAGTTTTTAATTAGTCATTAAATGCAGTCTCTGGGGTTCTGGGGTTTTCTATTAAATTTTATAATGTCTATAGTGACAAAAAGAAATTGAAATATTAACCCTTTAATTTACTGGTGTTAAAATTCATTTCAGCTGCTGGACTTACAAAAACCACAAGCCTCCAATTTTCTTACAATTTTTTATTATTAACTTTACTCAGCGGACAAGTTATATAGATACATTATTAAATCTTGTGTCTAGTTCTTATACTGTACTCCTAGTATCTGTTTCTCACATGATATATTAATGTTTTCATTGATACAGATAGATTTAAAACAGGGAAAATGTGAAGAAATCACTTTGTTTAAAATTTACATGATTTTAAATTTACACGGAACTAGGATAATGTTACCTTAAATCACTACAAAAAAAAAATAATAAAACAAGAGAATATACCTCTATGATATCGGCATTTTGCAATATTAGAAAATAAGTGGAAGAGAAACTGTTGTCTCTTATAAATTGTCACGAATTTTCGATTACCTCAATTTGAACGGAAGCATTAACATCTCTAAATGCATTTCCCATTTCAAGAGGATTTTCATTGTCCTCTTTTTCTTTATTTGCCAACGTACTTGGCATTTAAAACACCGCTTTCCAATTGCATCGATTTTAGTTACAGTACTGAAGATTTCAAAGCTTATAATAAATTTAGTCTATAAAGAAATCCATTTATCGTTATGCCATCAAATACGACGATCGAAATGAATTTGATATTTACAATAAAACTTTTGCATTGTTACAGAACGAACTTTTGCCAAATTGGAACAGGGCGAAACGACTGAAGCTATTGAAGAAGAAAATAACGAGCTAGAGCCAATGGTTATAAGCCGAGGGCCCTATTTCGTTAAGAGTGCTTCTAAAAATGTTACCGCTATCGTTGGCAAGACCGCACATCTCAGTTGTCAAATCAAAAATTTAGGTGACAGAACGGTAAGTTTATACTATATCTATCTTTTGTTTCCTATTCACTCCAATAATTTTTCAAACGTAACTCATTTAAACATAAACTAGGAATTTTCTTTCTCTATTCCTGTATGTATAATATATAAAGCTTCCTATATCTTCATAACACAACCTTCAAATAAGTAATACATCTAATTCATCCCGTTGGAACACTTACCTGTAATATAAATTAAAAATACACAAGAAATTAGACTTCGTTGGGAATCTTTAACAACTTAAAGTTTAGTTACTTGTTTTAAATTCATTGATAGTGGACAGGCAATAAGTGTCGAAAATGTTGTACTTAATGTGTAATCATATATTTATAACAAGGCAGATTACTCTCTCTTCGATAAGGAAAAATTTGTTATCATTTGGGAATGTTCTCGAATCTATTAGAAAATTCTGAAACATTCTAGAAACCTGTTGACGGGTGAAAATTTTCAGAAGAACTTTTGTAGTGTTTTCAATACATAAAAGTTTTCAAACATTTTTGATTCCTGGCAAGGGTGTGGCAGCAGCTACAATTTTTTCTCAATAATTTGAGGTTACCTGTAGTGGTAAAAATTAATTCATTTTACTGTAGATGGGCATTCAGGAAAAATATGTAACATTCTGTAATATTCTGACCAAACGCCGGAACTCAAGTAACACCTTTACTAATGCTATATGTGGAGTCCTTCGGGACGACAGTCTTTTAACTCCTATATTTCTAAAACCAACATCTGCAGCTGAAACCCGAAGCCGGTGCTGTGCATGAAATGACAACAAGATTGTCTATCGAATAATGCAGTGCGATAAAAACTGCTGTTACATGGATGAAGAATGTAAACGTTGCCGATTATCGAACGTCTAAGATAAACAAACAAATTGGTTCTACACATTTGTTTAGACTGTACAAATTAAATAAGTACATTAAAGGTACCTTTTTGTAAATGTACGAACATAAAAGAAAGAAATAATGTAAGCTACGTAAATATTAGTCGGTAAATGAGCATTACCTGGATAATTGTAATTCTGAAAATTTAAAATTCTGTCCTGCGAGAAGAAAAATTTTTTTAAACAGCACCCTATGGAAACAATTAGGCTATGCACCACTTTTCTTACGAAACCACAGACACAAATCCACTGACGTCATAGTTTACGGCTAAAAATCAGTTTCAAGCAAGACTTGCACTTGCTACAATTGATAAGGATAATAAAGATTCAGCAACTGTTCCTTTAAGATTTGCCACACTGTTACATCATAGGACCTAACGTTCGCTGCTATTTCTCGTGTACTATTTTGGGGATTGTCTTCTTTGAAATTGGGGATTTCGCCCCCTACAGTGGCGATACGATTCAAACCCATAAATACATATCATAATAACAACAGTTCTACAGTGACAAACCACAGTAATGATTGATGTTGTATTGTTGAAATAATTTAGATGCCATAGAACGTTTAAACGTTAAAGAAATAAACGGCTGTTAGAGATTAACTGAACATCCTGAATCACACTTAATCTAATCTAACAAGTGAACAATACACGAGCAAGAAAATGCAGAACAAATACTACACTGATGGTGGTAATTACCAGTTGATTGAGTGCAGCGTTGCGGGCCGTACTCCTTCACCATCAGGGCCGGAATTGAATTTACCTGTACGTTTAACTAATTTTTTCTCGAAAACGGTGAACTTTCGGATATAAATCATAATGCTCTATTATCACCTTCTGCAAGCTGGGCACTTATTAATGTTACACCCTAAATATAACATTTGTTAATTGGGTACTTATGGGGAGAATCAGAAAGTAAAAAAAATCGGTTGCCTGTAAAGTCGGTTTACTGACGATAGTTGAACGTGACAACGTCATAAGGAAATACTGATGGAATGGTTTCATTTTTCAAAAGAAAATTTTAATTTTATTTGTTTGATAGATATTTTGTATGGATATAGAGAAGGAGGTAAATGGAAATGTATTATTGTATAGCAGCTGTCCACGCGGACGCATCGCTCACTCAAGTAGGAGAGAGACAGATGTCGAACGCTGCCGAACGCGGAGGCCGATTGTGCCTCTTTGTCGTTCGTTCCGCGCTCTCGCTTGCACTTCAAGCTTTAAATGGAACGCCTCAGAGCGAGGTAACGTCGCATGAGTCATGTTTTTTCGTGCGTGCAGCCGGCTCCATCGAATTATAAGACGTTGTCACGTCAAAAAATGCCTTTAAAATACTTAGTGGGTTCTATTTTTTCTCTTTGTTAAAACTGTGGATATAAAAAGCGAAAAGGTCACGGTTATTCAGTATTTGCGAATGTCAAGAGTTCAGCAAATATTTTTGGTTGTGACTGCTTTGTAGTGCACCCACTCGGTTTGTTTGCAGACATTTCAGCAGAGTATGTATTTGTTTTGAGGCCCGTTTGCAGATCAGTACTTTAAAAGTTATTAGGGCCATTTACGTATTCGCCTACCTCGTTGCATTGTACGTAAATTAAACAAGGCTTATTAAACTGGCAAAATGTTGGATACAAACATAATAGCATGCCCATTAAAATAATTTTCAATTTTAGTTCGGAATATTTATTTGAAATTTAATTGTCACTGAATTGCAAAAAAATTACTTTATTGAATATACAGCCAAAATAGATAGATACCATATCAATGCTTTTAATGAGAAGTAGGACTCTTTAAGTTGCAGCATGTCGTCATTTATAGATAATTGCTGCTAATTGCGGTAAAGGAAAGAGTAAGGGAGAATGGAATAATAGGAGCCAGTGTATGCAATTTTTAAATTATGTGGTTTCAATTACCGAAATCTATAGATTAAATGTATAGATGCTTAATCTTTTATTTATTTTTAATAATACAAATTAATTAATTGTGATTATTTTTCATACACCCATTGATTTATACAAGTATTTATTGCTTTATATATGGGGTGTAACGTTTATAATCAATAATATTTTAACCATAGGTTCTGAGTGACAATTGGAACACGAAATGTTATAACGATTCTGACCTTACAAACAAAAAAAAATTAAAAGATTATAATATTTTTGNACTAAACTTCGCATTTCCCTAAAACTAGAACAACCCACATCCTTAGCTATTTGTGAACAGTAATCTAACCTAGGTCTACCTCTACTTCTCCTAACTCCTGTTTCTGTCTCTAATATGTCCCCGACTACCTTTAGTTTTTGTAAAGTGCGTGTTTTTAAAATCAAAATTATTGTTTATTAACAAATTTATATTAAAATTACTCAGTTATAAAATGCTTGACTAAGGCAGATTGGAAATTAATAACTTCATACACATACATGTATTACAATACTTCAAATTGCATCCTACTTTGAAATAAATTCAAATTTGATGTTTCAATTTCGTCGGTTACGATAAACATATAATCATCATCATAAGGTCGTCCGTCCCAAGACCAGTTGGACAGGCACCTCCACTCTTTCCTATCCTGAGCTAATTTTCGCATTTCCTTAAAACTAGAACACCCACATTCTTAACTATCTGCGAATAGTGCTCTAACGTAGGTCTATCTCTACCCCTCCTAACTTTCGTTTCTGCCTCTAATATATCTATGCTAGACCTTCATGCCTAAGAAGGTGTCCTATTAACCTATCTCGTTTATTTATTATTGACTTCCATAGTCTCCTCTGTTCTCCTATTCATTCTAATACCTCTTCATTTCTATCCACGGTATCCTCATCATTCGCCTGTAGCACCACATTATAATGCTTCTAACCTTTACTTTTCCACCGCGGCTGCTGCCTATGTTTCGCACCCGTACAGCGCAGTGCTCCAAACATACACCTTTAACAATCTTTTTGAAATTTCTAAATTAACCGTTCGCGAGCATAGAAATGACTTCTTTTTTACTTAAGGCGACTCGATCCTGCGCTATTCTCTGCTTTATATCCCTACTACTTCTTCCGTCCCGACTTATCTGACTTTTTGGTTTTACATTAATTTATTTTCATACAGTGCTGTTTTGTCAATATCGCTTTCATTTTATTTAAAGCTATCTCTAACCCCTCCTTGCTAGATGCTGATACTGCTATATCATTCTAAACGTACTAATCTTTTGACCCTGTAGATCTATCCCTACAATTGAGATGTCTTCAATGATCTTGATCACGTCTTCGATGTTTAGATTAAAAAGTATCGGTGACAGTGTGTATCCCTCTCTGACTCCCTTCCTAATACTTACTTCTCTATGTTGCAGCCCCAGCTCTATAACTGACTGTTGCTCTTTATACAAACTAAGTATCACTTGTCTATCTTTCCAACTCATCTCTGCATTTTAAAGTACATTTAACATCTTGTCCCATTTAACAATGTCAAAGGCTTTTTCTTTCCCTATTTGTCCCCAATTTGACTGACGTGCTTGAACATACGATCTCTGACCTCTTGTCCTGCATGTTTTAGAATTTCCCCCTTTATCCCATCTACATCTGGCGCCTTATTATTCTTTGAATACAGAATTGTAATTAATGTAATCTTTTTATTTCTTTAAGGAATTACGTAACTATTTAAAGTGATGGATATTGTTAAATGTAAACCATTTTCCTGCAACCAATTAACAGATATTGTATTACGTTACGGTGTAGGCGAAAAAAATGCACTCGTTTTATAGGAATTCAGAAATTTCGTTTTGATATGCGATTTAAAAATATTCCCTACGGTGCGCTGATAAGAAATGGACGAGGATCCACATATATTAACTTTTTTATTGCTGATCAAAATTTCATAAATGTCATTTACGTTCTCTATTAAAATGAAAACTGTGCTAAATAAAGTTACTAACTAAGCGACAATTCTATCGGGAATAGACGGGAATCCTCAAGTGCCCCTGGTGTACTGTACCGCATTGTAAAAAGTCGGCATTAATTCGGTAGAAAGAGAAAGGAATAAATGATGACTAACGTATCTTCAATATGATCGAGGTCCAGCCATAAATTAAACTAGGGCCAATTTCGAATATCGGAAAAACGTATTTCA